GCTGATGGGCACGGTCTGCGGGCCAGGCCTGTGGGAGCGCCCGCCCACGAGGGCCCTGGCACAGCCACGGGGCTGAGGACATGGTGCGTAGGACAGACCAGCCCCGCTCGGGGGAGACCACCCCGGCCAACTGCGACAAGACAAGCCGTCTGAGCGGGAGCTCCGCGCACGGCGTACAGACATGTCTGCGGGACACGGCCCGGCACCGAGTTCTCTGAAGCCTGCTGCTCTCTGAGGTCATCACAGAAAAGGGGGGCCCTGGGGAGGGGGGCCGACAGGGAGGCCGCAGCCACGCTGTTGCCCGAGAGATGACGTCAGCACCGGGAAGGAGGCGCTGCGCCCCTGCTCCTCAGTCCCGCTCCGAAAGGAAAGGGGAGCCACCCCCCTCCCGCGGCAGAAGTTAGAACCCCCCGGGGGGCCGGGGCGCGGCGGGGGCACAGGTGGCAGGAAGGCTCCCGAACGCGGAGCCCGGAACCTGAGCACAAGGCGGCGGCGGGGCACACACGTGTGAGCCCCGAGCTGCGCCCCCGCAGGGCCGTCCCGGCGCCCCCACCCCCGCAGCCAGCGGCCCGGGGCCAGGCTGCGCCTCCAGCCGGTTCCCGCGGCGGCATCGCGCGCACACGTGCTCGGACCCGCGGGAGCCTGGCGTCCGCCAGGAGCGGACCGAGGGGGCGGCGGCGTCTGTCCGGGCAGAGCAAAGGGACAAACACCCCACCCCCGCCCGCGCGCGCACACGGCGGAAACCGAAACGTGACCCCAAGAGACCCCGCGGGTCCAAGGTCCGCGGCGCGCGCAGAGCCGGCGCCAGGAACAGCCCCCTCCCCCGACGGCCGGCGCCGGGAGCCAGGCCCCGCCCGGGCAGGAGCACCGGCACGTTCTCCGGCGAAGCCAGCGGATCTGCAGACCAGGCGGCATGTCCGCCTCCCTCGCCCAGGTCTGCGCTGCAGGGCGACCTCAGGTGGGCTCCCCCGGCGCCGGGACCTCCGTCCCCTCCAGTCGCAGCCCGGACGGCCCGGACGCAGGCACAGATGCGCGCGAGGCACAGTGCAGTCTCTTTGTCCGGCCCCCACGGACTGCGCCCGCGCGGACAGAACCCCAGAGGGGAGCCCCGGTTCGCGGGTGCCGGCGGCTCCGGGCGCCCCTCCGCTCCTCTGTGCCGGGAGCGCCGCCGCGGCGGGGCCACGGCGGGGCGCGGGCGCTCACCTCTCCGTCCCGAGGTGCCCGGACGGCTTCCTCCCGGTGTAGCCGCGGGCCGGGGCCCCGGGCAGCAGGAGCGCGACGCCGGCAGCCGCTAGGAGCAGTCCGGCCCACATGACGGGCGGCGGCGCGTCCCCCCGGCTGGCTGGCTCCGGCGCCGCGCGAGGGAGGGGGCTCCCGGCCTCGCCCCTCCTCCTGGCGCCGCGGGGAGCGAACCAGCGCGCCCCGAGCTGGCACGCGGAGCCGAGCAGGGGGGCCGGGGACGCCCAGAGGAGGGGCCGGGGGCCGCGAGGGGATCCCGCGCGCGCGGCTGGGGGGTCTCTGGCACCTCGGAGCGGAGCACACAAAAGGCAGCGCCGCCCGCCCGCCCGTGGCCTCCTGGGGAGGCGCAGAGTCCCGGATGGGGTCAAAGATCGGGGACCCCTGGGGGCGGGGTTTGCCCTCGGCCCACTGGCCCTGCCTGGGCTTGGGATTCGGCTTCCTGAGAAGGGCCGTGGGCGGCAGACGGAGGCCCGCGGAGGGAAGAGACTTGCATCCAGGCTGGCGCTGGAGGCTGCGCCCCCAGACGCTGCTGGTCTTGGTGGAGCCGAGATGCCTGTGTCCAGGTGCTGGGCCCTTTCACTGCGGGGCAGTTCCAAGCCAGCCCCAGCCGGCCTGCAGGTCTCCGCCCTGATCCTGAGTGAGCGGGCCAGTGGACACTAGCCGGTCTTGAACCCGTGGCCCACTCTTCGCCCCCTTCTGCAGCTGCCCCGGCCAGTCAGCGCCGTGGGCAGGGAGTGGTGAGCAGGTGGCGGTGGCCAGGGTCATCTCGCGGAGGAAGCGAACATCCTGCCTTCTCCCGGGGGATCTTACCCAGCCACCCAGCCCCGTGAGCCGGGCTTTGCACCAGCATCTCCCGAAGGCAGGGATGAGGAACTCGCTACCTGTGGAAGGGGGGCCACTCCAGCTTGAGTCACTGCTCTGTCGGGAAGTGCTCTTACTTCCCACCCAAGTGACCTGTTCCTGTGGTCCTGCCTCACAGCTGCCGCCCACTGGCTACCCGGGCCTGTCCCGGAGGCCCTTAACATCGGTGGCCACAGATGAACGCGCTATGCCAACAGCAGCCTGGATGCTTGCAGTTTTCCTTTTGGATGCCTTTATTTTTTTATATTTTTGATTTCCGAGAGGAAGGGAGAGGGAGAGATAGAAACGTCAGTGATGAAAGAGAATCATTGATCAGCTGCCTCCTGCACACCCCACACTGGGGATTGAGCCCACAACCGGGGCATGTGGCCTTGACCGGAATCAAACCTGGGACCCTTCGGTCCACAGGCCGATGCTCTGTCCACTGAGCCACGCCAGCGAGTGCCCGGACACTTTTCCTAACACATCCTAATACCACTTGGCTTTGGGGCAACCCCCATGATGCTGAGGGTTCAAAACAAAGGAAAACCTCGGTGTTTTTGTTGTCGTGTTTGTATGTTATTAAATACAAGCTGCTAAGCCGACCTCCCTACCTGAACCTGTGTGGTCCAATTTTTGCAGATGTTTACATTTAGGCTGGTTTTCTCACTTTGTTAGTTTTGATCCATCTTCTGAGCTAAGCTACAAATTCTCAGAAATAGGTTGCGAGAATATTCTGCAACCTGAGTTGAATGTAGCTTCCATATTTATGTCCATTCAGACCCCTAGGGCATCTTTCATTTGTGCCTCAAACATCTGCAGGTGCACTTCCTCCCTCCACCATTCACACTGCATTCCTCCCCCTTCCTTACCAAGTGCTTCAGTGTCCACCTTCCATGACCACGGAGCCACAGATCTAGCGCTGGGACAGACACAGAAAGCTCTTCTCTCACTTGGGCCCACCGAGACCACCATGGATGCCAAGCAAGTGCTCCACCCTGGCCCAGAAGCTACCTGTGCCTGCTCCGCCCACACTCCAGCACACCTGAGCTGCAGTGCTCCATGTAGCCCCGCCCCCGCGTCTGCCCTTCACTGAGGGTCTGCCCCACGATGGTCAGAGAACAGCTGCGGTGCAGCCTTGTGTTAAAGAAAAGCCTCGTCCACGTCCACCCGCAGGAGTCGGGGTCTTGGAGGTGTTGCAAATTCCTACTGGAGTATTACAAAAGGGACCACTTTCTACCCTGGCATTTCTCACGTTCCTGGCTCCTCGGACCTTATGGCATCCATCTTGCTCTGCTTATCAAGTCTGCTTCTTCAATTTACTTGTCTCTTTTCCTTTTCTTGTCCTTTGGGTTGTTTGACCCGAGGCTCAAAAGTTTGAACCCTGAGAGTCTCGGCATCGGTCCTCCTCACGGACTAGTTGGTCATATCCCTTAGTCAGTTCTTCAGTATCTCCTCCCCTAGTCTGTGGCTTACGGCTTCTGAGTAACAAAAGGGACCTGCATCTTAGGTGGAGGATCCAGTGTTGTTGGCGCAGAAAGACCTCTGGCTTGTGACCCTTCCAAACGGTCATGTGATGAGCCAGTGTTTCTATTATTCTCCCAAAGGTCCGTCGGAGCTCGGCCCTTGCATCAGCGCCTACATGGGAGGCGTAGCAGAGCTCCACGGGCAACCTTCACCCCTGGCGCCGCGATGAGTGGTGTGAAGGCGGATGGGAAAGTGTGGAAAGTGTGGTCGTTTCGAAAAAATTATGGGATCCAATCCTGAGTGAATAAACCCAAGATTGTAGGAGACTGTGAGGCTCTGCAGCTCCCACCGTCCAGGCCGCAGCCTGGCTGTAGCCTCTCTCACTGATTGGGCCTCTTGGCTGCAGGCCCACCTGTCAGAAGCGCCCGAGGTCATCACTGCATCGTGCCTTCCTGGCCGGGGCACCTTGGAGTCCACCGCCCACCCAAGGTGACCTTTCCACCCCTGGAGGCTGCTGCGTGCCTGCCTCAGCGGAGCAGTTCCCTGGCACGGGCAGGCCTTCGCAATGCAAACCCGGCCTTGAAGGATTCAAGGCACAGTGCTGAGTTTCAAGTTCAAACTGTGGTTTTGAGAGATGCTCATTATTTTTTCCCCTTAAGACCTTGTGTGCTCACACCCACCCCCCAGGGAGCCGGGGGAGCAGGAGCGCCCTGCGGAGGAGCTCACTCCGAGACCCCCAGGCAGAGGTGCTTCCTGGCCTTTTCCTTTCCCGCCAGAGCCTCTCAAAACCACAACTTTCCTGAAACTGTCTCAAAGGATGGTCTTAGAGGAGCCGGCCAGTTCGCCTGGGACCAACCGACTCCACGTGGGGACAGAGCCGCCTTTATTCCCACTGGATCGCTGGGGGAATGTGGGACCAGACACTGACCCACTGAGCTAAAGACAGACTGTTTGCTGGACGAAAGGTGAACCCCAAGTATGCCCTACACTTGTATTTTTAAACCAAAGGACATACAACTAGAACCCAAAGGGCACATGCCCACAGGAGGCTGAGAGGTGCGTGAGGAGCTACTGGCCCGTGGCCTCGGAGCAGTGTCAGGGGGCTGGTCGTGGGAACTGCATCTGGCTGTAAAACGGTATCAGGAAAGGCAGCCTAAGCACCCCCCAGGCCCAGCAGGTGACTAACAGGCAGCTGGGACGCAAATGGTCATCGGTCACAGGTAACCAGACCAGGGAATCAAAAACCTGACGCCATCACCTTAGAGCTCACGTGGCTAAGGAGGTGCAGACGTCGCCTTGCTACTTGAGAGCTGAAGAGGACTTGTCCGGCAGCAACAGCAAGTGACTGCAGCAGCTGCCATCCAGGTGGGGAATGAACGTGGGGAAACTGGGCACAGTGTGACCAGGATACTGGACTGGCGGGCAGCAGGAAGAAAAGCAAAAACACATGGATCTTTCCTCTTAGACTCTACTTTATTTGGTAAACTAACCACCAATCACGCCCACCCACCTCCTCGCTGAAGAAGGCAGTCAGCTCCCCACACACAGAAAGGCCATGGTTTGGGGACCAACCACCATCTCCGATTCTACACGCAGGCAGCCCCGGGCCTGGTGGTCAGGTCTCCAGACCAAAGCTCTCAGAGGCAACAGACGGAAGTAAAAGGAAGCCCTCACTTCAAAGACAATGAACCCTCCCGCCCTCCTCCCTGTCCCACGGCCCCCCACACCCCAACCTACATAGAGATAGCAGAGGACAGCGCATGAGCGTGACACACAGCTTCCCTTCGGCCACGGAGCCGCACCCTCCCTGGAAGGGCGGCCTTACCACCAAGGCCTGGTGGCCGCCGTGGGGCTGGAAGCAGGTGTGACGTTAAAAACCCAGGGAGGAAGGTCTTCACCTTCGGCCACTCCCAGGTGTCCGGGAGCAGGTTTCGTTCTAAGAAACCCCCACGTCCACACAGGTGACTGTGGCTTCTGGGACAGCGGCTTAGGGAAAGGCTTCCGTGGCCAAGAAGACAGCGGCGGGGGAGGGGAGACAGGAGGGCAAAGCCTTCCCAGAGGGTCTGCGAGCGGGAGCCCTGCCCTTGGCTAATGGATCCGCGTCAGCTCCTCCACCACCTTGATCAGGTCGTCCGCCGTGGCCTCTCGCTTCATCCCGCTGCCGTCATCATACTGCGGGAGGGAGGAGGAAGGTGTGCGGGCCGCGAGGGGCTCTCCCCCTGGGGAAGGGCATGCCTGCCAGGGAGCCCTCAGAGGCCCACACCTCTCCCTTGGGGTACAGCCCAGCAGGTCTACTGACCATGAGCCTGGCTCGGAGCTGCCGCCTGGGGGACATTCTGCACTTCCAGGATGGTCCCCGGAGGCACCATCTCCAGGGAGCAATACCCCAACTGCAGCACTGGGGGCACCTCTCTTCCCGGTGGCATTCTGGGTCTGCCAGAATCCCAATGTGCCCCAAGGTGCCCTCGTTGCTAAAGCGCCTGGTGGGGACCCAGGAGGCGAGCTCAGCTACATCTCCTGTCCTCAGACTCCACTCCCCGGGCAGGAGAATGAATACATACAAGGGGCCACGGGTCTCTGGGAAGTGAGGAGGGAGGCGCCAGAGTTCAGCGGTCCCAGCATGCCCTGCAGCGGACTGTGTGACGGCCAGGGCGGGACACCGCGCAGCTCACCTGAAGGTTTGCCACCACCTCCTGCATCTTGGGCCGGCTGATGTCCAGGAAACTCTCAATCAAGTCCCCGTCGATGAAGCCGGTGGCCGGTTCCGTCTTCCGCTCCGTGTGAAAGGACCTCCAGGTGGAGGGAGTTAAGGAATGTGCATTCCGTGGAAATGCCCTGACCTCAGTCACGCCCTCTGCTCAGGCCACAAGCTGACCATCGGGACGCGAAGAGGAACAGACCCGCCTGGGAGCCTCACTGCTTCCTGGACCATCTTGGGATGAAAGACCCGGAAAAGCATCACCTGCTCCACCGGCTCTCAACAGGGCGATCTTCAAACCATGTTTTCAAAAGTACAGCCCAGGCTTCAGTCAGAGCCTGGAGGGGCGGTGCTCGCAGCGCTGCAGCCGGTGGGCTGGGTGTGCGCGCCTGGAGAACCCCCCTCCAGGCCCAGCCACGTCTGCACAGCTCAACCCACTAGGCTCCCGGAGACAAGGCATGCCCCAGCCTACACCTCAGCCCCTCCCCTGCTACAGCCAGGCCACACGGCCTCGTCACAGCACGACAAATGCCACAGACTCAGCAGGAGCCCCCACCCCCACCTCACCCCGCTTCTTTGCTTTTCCCAGCGCCTGCAGCCTCTCCAGCAAGGGTCCTCAGACACCACTGCCCCCAACAAAATCTCTGAAAGGAGGTTTCTATGTTGTCATAGAAAATGACTGTTTGACATGCAATGCCAGCAGGGCCAGAGGCAGACACGTTTCAGGGACATAAATGTAGGTTTCCAAGGTGAACCAGGTGACGCTGGGTTATTTATACTATTCTCCCTCCTGTGTGCTTGGATTTCCTGTGAGCTAAAAGGGCTGGTCCCACAGCCGTTCGGGTTCTCGGACAGCAGTGTCCAGGGCAGCTGGGTCAGGCTGCTCTCCCTGGGCGGGGCGGGCTGCTCAGCAGGCTCCCCAGGAAGGATATAAAGAGTGCTCAATCTTGCCCACGCTTTTGATGACTTTATTGAGCCGGTTCTGCATGTCCAGCAGGAGGTTGTACCAGCTCTCGGACAGGGAGGTCACCAGCCCTGCAGAGCAAAGGGCGCCCTGAGCTGCAGAGCCGCGTGGGCAGTGAGGGCAGCCCGCCCGCTGCGGCCTCCGCCGCCCATGCCCGCTCCATGCTCTTCCCTCTGCGCGGCGACTGCGCTGGGTGGGAGCCCCGGCAGGTGCGCTTACCAATCATGCCGTTGACGGTGCCGAAGAGCACGGAGCCCTGCGTGGGCGTGGACGTCTCGCCGAGGTTCTGCATGACCAGGGAGCCGTGGCAGAAGACGTTGACGAACTCGCCCAGGTGGAAGAGCCCGACCTCCTGGAGGTGCTGCCGCTCCTCATCGGTGGTGGCAGCGCTGAAAGGCAGCGCAACAAACTCACCACCCGCAGCCCCTGTGCTTCCCGGGGCCCCACAGCCCGCAGCACAGGGCTGGGCCCGAGAGGCTGCCTGTGGCCTTGTTCTCTCAGGAAGAGCCTGGACTCTGGAGGAGCCCGCGCCTGAGGGGCCCCATGTCCTCCCCACCACAGGCCGGGCCCAGCCCCCATCCCCACGGCGGTCACCCACCTGTCCTTCTGACACACGAACAGGTTAAAGGCGTTCTCGGCCCCCAGGAAATTGTCATCATCCAAGATTTCCACGGCGCTCATCCAGTTGGGGTTAAAGTCCCGAGCAATCTGAACACGAGCGGGTGCAAACGCGAGAAGTCAGCAGCGTGCGTGGAGCCTGCGCTGGGCCCGCCGTCTTTTAGCCAGAAACCCAGAGTCTGGCCTGAGGAGGCCCTGCCCGGGCCTAGCAACGGCCACTCTGGAGGCTCTCCCCGTCTCTGCCGACGCAGCCCACTGGCTGCGATTACCCAGAAGCGGAGATGCTCACGGCTCGGGATGGGGCCGCAGGACGTGCCCTCCAGGGAAACGTTCCTGTCCCCCGGCTGCCTGCCCTGCGCCAGAGACCCCCGGGCAGGGCCCCGCTGAGTGAGGCCCGCACCCCGTACCTCCTCGAAGTTGCCCTCCATGGGCTTGTAGGCCAGCAGCAGCACGGAGCGCATGAGGTCGCCCACCAGGATGAAGTCGCCCTTGGTCTTCAGGTAGAGCGCCATGATGTTGTTGTAGTGGTTGCACTCCGTGCGCAGCTCCTTCTCCGCCGTCCACTCATACAGCCGCACCTGGGGGGGCACCGCCCGCTCACAGGACCGTCCCGCCCTGTCCTCGCCCTCCCTCAGCCCGGCGCCAGGGCGCGTGGCCATGAAGCGGCCTGAGGAGGACGCGTAAACACGCCAGCATCTATGCTCATGAGCGACGACAGCAGCGAGCCCCTCAAACTGACGCCACGTTTCCCTTTACATAGAAAAGGAGCAGACAGACTAACGCTGAGTCAGCAGTAATGCCAGCACATGAAGACGACAAAAGACGGTTCCTGTGACTGAGTTTGGTGGCAGACTTGCAGAATGTTCTAGAAAGAAGCTCCATCTCCAACTTTGCCATCAGAAAGAACAAGGTAGCCTCCCAAGAATCCGCCTGTTCCAAACCTTCCTGGAACCGGTGACGTGAGCCCAACGAGAGGGAAATGAATGGCAAAGTGAACCGCCTCGCGTAACAAAGGCTCCGCAGTCCCGAGTCGGCGTTTCCTTCTCCTCCACTCAGTGCTGCTGCCGTGACAGCCACATCTCCAAGAGAATGAGATGCTTTATCATCGGCGAACAGACACCTGGCAGAACCCAGGCTGAGCCACACTCAGCTCCCGGGAGAAGCCGCCTGGCAGGCGGTTCCAGGTCCCGTGGCCCCACCTCCGGCCTCTGCACAGGAAGGACAGGATGTACGAGCCATGGTTTCTTGAGATGTGGCCAAAGAACCCTCGCTCCAGAGGGCTGGCCTCCAGGAGTCATTCATAACTACAGTGGCTGCCGCCCTCCATCAGCAGGGCCAAGGGGAGGCCTTGCTGGGCTCCACACCGCCACAGTGGCGTCCAGAAGGGGCAAGAGCGCGACACGCCCCTCCCTCTCTACCTGCCACGGAGACGGCCAGACACCACCAAAAACCCAAGATCCCCTCAGCCCGGGTTCTAGACCTCGCTGTTCAATACGGTGGCCTCGAGCCACACACGACGACACAACAGCTGGCATGCGGCTAGGCCCAGATGAGATGGCTGTCATTGTAAAACACACCAGACTCGGAAGCCTTAGTATGAAAAAAGGAAAATACCTAATAATCTTTATATTGTCCCATGTTAAGTAATACTTTGAATCCATTGAGTTAATAAAATGCGTTACTAAAATTAACTTCACCTGCTGCTTTTTGCTTTTATTCGCGTGGCTTCCAGGAAGTTTACAATTACACACGTGGCTCCTGTGGCATTTGAGACGGCAACGGACTCAACAACAACTCCCAGCTCCTCACCCAACCCCAGGGCCCCAGCGCAGTCCCGCTCCCCCTGGAGCCGCTGTCACTAGGCCGGCGCGCCCTGCTCTCTGGCCAGTCCCTTGTTGCTCTAAAGGAAACCCGTAGACCTTTTCCTAGAGCCCTGGGCCCTCTCAACTGGCTGTCCTTCCTCCCATTGTCCCTCCAAGCACCTCGCCTGCCCTTCCAGACTCCTACCACCTCCCCCTACAGGCACCAGACCACTCCCACCTCCACCCCACCCCCTTGCTCTCTCGCATACAACAGCCCTGTAGTTCTTGGTCCTCTAGCATCCACACAAATATCTTTCCAATAACTTGACCTCTGACCTTGTCTGATCCCCCTTAGAGCCTGCTGTTAAAAATAACTCGAGAGTGCCCTGTGCGCAGGTCGCCTTTCCCCAGCTGCCCAGAGCCACCGCCAGCAGCTCTCGGCGTCCCCCCGGCAGACAAGCGCGCAGTGCTCCCTCGCTGGATCGGAGTGTCCTGCGGTCCCGTCCTTCCCTTTGCTCTTTCCCCCTTTCCCACCAGACGCCTTGAGGGGTTTCCAATACTCCTCGCCCCTGCGGAACCCTCTTCCTCAGGTTCCCCTCCTCCCACCTCTCACCCAAAGTAGCCCCCGACCCCAAAGCCAACGGCCAGTTCCAACCCCGAGGTTCCCTGACGCGCGCGGGCAGCACGTGCCATTTACCAGCCCCTCCTGGTTTCACTGATTCCATCCAGACCCGCTGCCATCGCCAGCCCACCTCTCTCCTGGCTCCCCGCCCTCATCCAGCTCCTACTGACATCCTCGCTCAGATGACAGCAGACACCGAACCTCTGGTGCCGCCACAGCACAGAAGACACAGATTCAGTCCCTGCCCCGATTCCTAAGCGATAGGGTGTCAGATGCACCTTCCCCGGAGCCCCCAAGCCCCTCAGAATTTCCTGGGTGAGGAGTCTTGTTCTAGTAAGGCCACTCCTGGGGACTCCTGGGTAGTGTCAGGATGGGGTGGTCTCTCGGAAGACTAGAAGCTTGGAACTTGCAGTCCCACCCTCCTCTGGGGAGGAAGGGGCTGGAGACCAAGTTATGCCCATCGTGCCCACAGGATGAAGTCTCCACAAAAACTCCTGACCTGCAGGGTCAGAGAGCCCTCGGCTGGTGAGCACACCCCCGACCGGGAAGCGGCGCACCCCACCAGGAGGACAGCGGCTCTGCACAGGACCCTCTGAGCAGTGCCACTCACCGGCTCAAACCCCCCTGCACTGAGGAGCTGATGCTCCTGCGGTTCACAGAACCACGCCTCCCAGACCCCCAGCTCTCCCCCACCCCCTCACTGCTTTATCGTTAGCACTGGACACACCCCCCGAGGAAAGCGGGGAGACAGCCTGTGGACAATGTGTGCAGCCGGGAGAGGACAGCCCCGAGTGGCTGGGCCTCACCGTGCTATTGATGCTGGCCAACAGCTTCCCGTTAAATTCCACCATGGAGTACACGGCCCCTTTCACTTCCTTCTCAGCCACAGTCTGCAGTTTTCCTGGGGGAGGAAGAGATACTCTTGAGCCTCCTCTTGAGCCCACACTAACTAACCAGAGGAAACTCTGATGCCCCCTCTGGCTCTAAGGCCTCTGACAGCAGGAACACAGCCAGTGCAGACTGAGGGGAGCCGCCACGGAAGGATGAGCCTCAAGGCATGTGCAGTGACTCCAGACAGCATCCTGAGCTGCCCGCCTGGTGCACAGCTCTCTCAGGAGGGAGACTAATTCCATTGCGTCCACCTGTCCCAAGGTTTCTGGGCTGAAAGCTAGTCTTTAGGACCTTATGGGGGGGGGGGGGGGGCCTGAAGATACAGGAATGAACACGACGCCCTGAAGCGGGAAAGAAGTCCTACATGGCTGAGAAACCAGGATTCATCTCTTACTCGAGCCACTAGATGCTCCTCCCCCGCACCACCTCTCCCCTCCTGCCTTTCCAGGAGCAGAAGAGGAAGCCGCACGTGCGAGTGTATGTGCCGCCGCCCATCTGCTCCAGAACACATTCAGGCGACAGCCTGAGAGGACGGGAGAGAGTGGCTCATGGCGCAACGATGAGCACCACTCTCCTGCCGCTTGCTTAGCTGAGGCTCTGAAACCTGGACAGTCTGCTTCCTCTCCGAGCCTCCGAGGCTGCAGACCCCACTTACCATCTGAATACTGAAACACCACAATCCGACCCTGCTTGGGCTCCGCCTCTTCCGGGTACACCATGGCGGTGCCCACAATGAAGTAGGTGTTGGGGTCTTTGCCCAACTTGCAGGAGACCAGGCTGAGGGCATACTCGTTCTGCAGAAACTGGTGGGCATGGAGCACTGGAAGGAGAGGGGAGAGGGTGACGGCAATGGTCCCACGCGCGTGCAACCCTGCACTTCTGAGGCCCGCAGCACGGCTCCGGGCAGAGCCCCGTGGTGCCAGTGCCCGCGCCCCTGCTGCTCCTGTCTCCACAGACTCCCTTGCCAGCCGGCACTGGCCTGAGGCCCGCCCCTCCTGCCTTCTCCTCTGAGGACGGCCGAGCACAGCGTCCACCAAATCCCGAAATGCACCAGGACCCAGGCCGCCGAGTTTAGGGAGAAGGAGGTACAAAACGACAGAGCTCGTGTGCACCTTCGAAGGTGTGCTGGTCGATGATGAGGAGGTTGTGCACCTCCACCTCTTCGCCGAAGGAGGTCTCGTGCGGGGCTGTGCTGCTGGAGAACAGCTTGCTGGAGCTGACGCTGCTGGACAGGGCCTGGGGACAGAGGCGCACTCAGCACCCGGAGCGGGCCGTGCTGGGGGCGTCAGGCCGTGGGCCGGCGGGACCGGGAACAGACTGGGTCTGAGCGGGGAGAGCTCTGGAGGTTGGCGGCTCGAGTGGAACCTGAGGAGCCGGGGGCTTCGGAGGACATGGGGACGAGGACAGGGATCTGAATTCCCTCTGGAATTGACAGCGGTCCTGACAGCACAGGAAGCTGAGGGCCAGGAGAGATCACAGGACAGTGATCCACATCCATCAGGCACAGCCGAGGAGGACCCAGGGCACCTAAGAAAGGGAGACTCCACCTCCCCCAATGGGAACGGCAGGGGACACTTCCAACAAAAGGAAACGGAGACCTTCTATTGGATTCGGGAAGAAGCCCTATCATAGGTGTCTGGGAGCAGGAAAGGCAGAGAGCCCCTGGACTGAGACGGTCAGCCAACCTCCCCACCAAGTGCAGCTCGGGAACGTCCTATCGCCGGCACGCACAGGTGAGAAACAATGAGGTCAGCAGCTAGCACTGCAGCTCGAAGCTAGCTCCGTCAGACTCCAGCCCCATGCTCTCAGCTATCGTGCTACGCTGTCCCCCACTACGCACACCCTACAAAGTCCCCAACGATGAGAGAAGCATTACTCATCCTGCAAAGCTACCGAGCAGCAAAGCCACTGACAGCCACCTGTACCCCGAATTCTCACCCCTCCAGGGAGGGGGCCCAGCCCAGCTCCTGCCTGTTTTATATGTAAAGTTTTACTGGGACCCAGCTGTGCCACCAGCTGCTCATGGCTGCTCCCCACGGGCAGCGGAGCAGTGAGTAAGGCCGTCTGTCCCCGCCCTCACCTGGGTGCTGGCACTCGGCCTCAGAGCAGTTGTGCCCCCACTCGAGTCCTGAACCTCGATGCGGCTGGAGAGGACCCCAAAACACTGGGACACCTCCTGGTAGCAGATCTTCCTGCAGAGCAAGCGCAGAGCAGGGCCGTCAGAGCCGGAGCCTCCACCCACTCCCGGCCGCCCTCCCTCCGCCCGCCCGCCCGCCGCGCCTCACCGGGGAGACTCGTAGAGCGGCACCGTGCGGATGTGCAGCTTCTGGATCTCATCGATGGTGCCGATGGTGAGGGTGCTGTTGTTGGCCAGTGCCAGGCTGGAGAGAGGGTCTGGGTTAGTGAGGAGACTCGAGGAGGACAGGGTGCCAGGAGGGACTCCACAGGGAGGAAGCCGGGCAGAGCCGCACCCGCGTCCTCCGGGGCAGCGGCTCTCAGCTCTGAGGCTCAGGCTCAGGGCGCCGGGGGCGACGTCACAATCCAGATGCCTGGTCCTCCCAGGAGGTTCCCCCTAATCGGTCTGGGCAGGCCTAGGCCAGTGATGGTGAACCTAGAACACGCGTGTCAGAGGTGACACGCGAACTCATTGTTTTGGTTGATTTTTCTTTGTTAGATGGCATTTAAATATATAAAATAAATATCAAAAATATAAGTCTTTGTTTTACTATGGTTGCAAATATCGAAAAATGTCTATATGTGACATGGCACCAGTTAAGTTAGGGTTTTTCAAAATGCTGACACACGGAGCTCAAAAGGTTCGCCATTACTGCCCTAGGCTGAGGTTTATAAGCTTTCAATTCCATGCTTACAGCACTAGAATCTACAACAGAGATTTCAACAGCAACTCTGCCGAAGGGCTTGCGAAACCAGATTGCTCCCCCAAGAAGCCCTAGCATTTCCCACGCGTTCCCAGGCAGTGCCGGGGCGCTGGTGGGGCCACGCTGTGAGCTCCGCTCCAGGGAACTACACATGCTCTCTAAAGCTGCGGATTAAAACAATAAAAAATAAAAGAAAAAATGAAGCTGCAGGTTAGTCATCTGAAGCACCTGAGGTTTCCTGAGAATAAAGATTCTGAGGTCCAACCTCAGATGTGCTGAATCAGAATCTGAGAAGGCATCAAAAACACCTGTACTTTAAAAGCTCCCAGGCATCTCTGTGGGCAGCCAGACTGGAGCGCCTCTGCTCTGCCCTTCCCATTCCGCTCTGTCCGGACCGACGCTGGGGAAGGGAGCAGGGGAGGGGTTTGAGGACAAACCATGATCCTCAATCCCAGCTCCTGCTGAAGGAACAGGCTCACCTGTCAGGATAGCCATCGGAGTTGAGGGGACACATGTAGTTCACCTCCTTGAGGTTGACATTAGAGAAGACCAGCTTGTGGTTGCTGCTGTAGATGACAGTGGGGCGGTCCGAGCAGGCGAAGACGTTGGTGGTAGAAAGAGACCGGAAAGTCCTCAGCACCGTGGGCTGGGTGCCCAGGGTCACCTTCTTGCGGTCGCTCAGCAGGCCTACAGAGACGCCACCGGAGAAGGGAGGAAAGGGACAGGGCGACAGCTGGGCTGGGCAGGTCCACAAGCAGCACCTTCAGGCTACGAGGCAGCAAGTCCAGCCTCACTGGCAAAGCGCTGCTCTCACCTGTCTCGATGTTGAGCCCGAAGTAGAACAGCGCCCCGTCTCCCAAGGCACAGAGGAGGTAGTGGCTGCTCTCGAAGGTGGTCATCAGGATGGAGCGGGGAATGATCTCTGTGCGGAAGGGGGACGTTCAGGTATCGTTCCCGATCTGCCCAGTCCCAACCCAGGTCCTTAGAAGGTCCGTACCTCCACCCAGCATCTCTTTGTGCAGCAGCTCAAAAGAGGGCAGCTTCAGGATCCGGGCCGAGATGTCTGTCCAGAGGCCAATGGCACAAAGAGGGGACAGCCCATTGCTGTCCCCTAAGGGGGTGATGTCCAAGCAGGCCACTTCGTGTTCCATCTCTGTGTGGCTGAACAAAGAGGCAGATGGCAGAGGGAAGCAGCCAGGAAGAAAGGAGAACAGGGAGGGAAGGGCCGCCGGAGAGCGCACCTGATCTGCCGGAGCTCCTGCGGGTGGATCTGCAGGTAGTAGAGCGCCCGGCCCACGGCGACCACCACCTGGCTGCTGTTGCAGGAGGCCACGCTGATGTTCTTGCCCTGCGGCTCCTTCCACTCGCTGACTAGAGCTTTGGGGTCCTGGGACACCAGCCTCACGGAGGCAGAAGTGATCTAGAGGAAGAAAAGCGATGTCTCCGGGGGCTGGCAGCTCAAAAGGCGAGGTGGGGTGAAATCAAAGAGCGTCCGGGTCACTTCAAACATAAAAAGATTGCGGGGGGCGAGGGGGCGGGGCTCAGCAATCAGGCTCTCGGGATAACAAGTGCCCAAAGGCTCTCTGACCCACACAGCAGGGACAGTTAGAAGAGCTGATTCTAGTAACTAATACGTGGAAAGTGCAGCCAATAACCATGTATGGATGGTAGCACTATAACTAATTGTTTTTCTTCTTTGTGCTTTTCTCTATTTTCCCTATAAGTACCCTATATAATAAAAGGCTAATCTGCAAATTGTCCCCATGGGTGGGAGTCTGACGAGCGCTGACCACCGGGGGGCAGCATGGAACATGGTGCGTGTCAGCTACGCAGCGCTGGCAGCTCTGAAGGGCAGGACCGCAGTGGGATGGTGGAGGTGAATGGGTGGCACCAGGCTAAGGCAAGTGTGAGCGAGGCCCCTGATCACCCCGCAGTTGCCGTCTGTGGGGCGACCGGAAGGGTGACCAGCAAGTGGGTGGCACCAGGCCAAGGCAGGTGCAAGCGGGGGGCCCGACTGCCCCACCAGTCACCCCACAGATGGTGACCAGTGGCGGTGGCAGTGAGGGGCAGGGCCGGCAAGCATGCAGCACCAGGCCAAGGCAGGTGCGAGCAGGGCTCCCCAATCACCCTGCCAGTCACCCCACAGATTGGCCCTGATTGCCGCCAGGCCTAGGAACCCTACCCGTGCATGAATTTCGTGCACTGGGCCTCTAGTGTATTAATAATATGAGGAAAATGTGTGTCTCAGAAGACAGGGTATAATAAGTATTAAGACAGTAGCCCTCAAAATATACATATTAAAATCCCAGTCTATAAAAGATAATGTGAATAAACAATATACACACATTTGCAGAGGAAACAAAATTAAAAGCAACAACTCCAAAGTGAAGAGTTGTTAAATTGTTATCTCTGAGTATTGGGTTATCAAGTAATTTAATTTTTTTCTAGTCCTTTAACATTTTTAGAGCCACAAGCATGGACTGCTCTGTACTGCACTTGAAGTCAAATTCAAGGACATAGGGCCCGCCGCTTCTGTCATTACCTGAATAAGCTGCTGATGAGCCACATTGCCGCAGAAGAAGGTCTGCTGCTCATCCACAAACCCCGTCAGCTCTGTCTCCTCCACCTCCTCTCCGTTCAGCATGAGGACCCTGCAGGGGAAGGAGCCTCAGTGAGCCGGACCAGCCCCCCCGCCGCCTTCTCAGGAGCGCCTGGAGCCGGCGCAGGCTCATCTTACCTTGTCTGGCCCACAAAAGAGAGGACCAAAGTGTCATCAGTCTCCCGGGTAGGATCAGACCGCAGGGGCCACAGGCCTGGAACAAAGGTCAAGGGTTAAGATGCACAGCACAGACCGACACTGTGAGGAAGGGGCAGCTGTCCCCATGGGGAGAGAGGAGAATCTGGAATCAGTCGGGAGTTGAAACACACACTGTTCTCCCCTGGTATTAACTCTGAAGAAGTCAGACACTCCAAAACAGTGTTGAGCCTGCCACATTAAAGTTTCTAACTTGATTTCAGATAATACATTTGCATGATTCAAAATTGAATTTATTTTTAAAAAATGTAACAGAAGTCTCACTCCTTTAACCCTCCCTCCAATCCATCCTTCAAATAAGTCATCAAGAATAGCTTCAGGCCTGACCAGTGTAGCTCAGTGGTGGATGGTGACCTATGAACCAGGTCACGGTTCAATTCCCAGGCGGGGCACGTGCCCGGGGCGTGGGCTGAGTCCCCAGTGTGGTGAGAACAGGAAGCAGCTGGTCAGTGATTCTCATCACTGACGTTTCTCTCTCTCTCTCTCCCTTCCTCTCTGAAATCAATAAAAATACATACTTTTAAAAAGAATAGTTTCTAGTTTGTCCTTCCAATTTATTTAATTAAATTTATTGAGGTAACATTGGTTAATGATTCCACTTTGATAACTTAAGGAAACAGGTAAACACTGTCTTACAAGCAAATACAAGTAAAACGGCCTAGTGCACGCCGCTGTGCGTCCTGCTTTCTCGAATATGCCCAGCCCGCACCAGAGCAGAGCAGGCCAGGCCCTTCTTTGGCGTGTGCGCGGTACTGAACGATGAGGCTGTGCCAGGGCGCGAGGAAGCCCATCGCTGGACACTTTTTCAGTGGACTTTGCTGACACACATGCCACGGAGAATAACCTGACGCCGTTTTTGCTACAGATGAAGGCCTGTGGGCAGACGCCCAGCACGGGGGCTGCAGGAGACGCACTCACTGCGGCTGCTGCTGGGGAGCACTGCTCATGAGCACACGGCTCCTCACAGCCTCACCAACAGAAGGCGTGGCCAAACTTTTGGGTTTTGGTCATCTGGCGAAGAATGATATCCCTATTTTGTTTTGATTTGCATCTCTTTTAATACAAAGTGAGGCCTGTTACTGTCCATTCATGTCTTTTGCCAAATCGAGGACAGGAAATCTGGTGCTCTTTCTAGAAGTATTTTTTTTTATAAATTAGGGGGGACTGGGTCTTTGGTTAGAAAATAACATGTTTTTAACCAGTCTGCCATTTCTTCTAACTTTACAGTGTTTTGTCTTCATCATGTAGTAGTGTTTTATTTTTCTTATTGAATTTATCAATCTTTCTTTTTAGCTCCTGTACTTTGAGTCATAGTTTAAAAGACCTTCCCACTCCAAAATTAGAAGGAATTCACCAACTTCTGCGTTTAGCTTTTGTATGGCTTCATTTTTTTACATGAAGTCTTTGCTCCGTTTAGATTATGGGTTCCACCTTATCTTTTCCCAATGACTGTTACCCCAGTATCACTTATTAAAAAGGGTCACCTTCGTCTCAGTGAACTGAGATACCGCCACTATCATACACTAATTCCCTCATGTACTGTTATTTCTGGACTTGAGTCTGCTCATGGGACCCTACCTATTTTGCACTAAACCACACTTTTAGTTTCTTAAGTTTAATAGTATGTTTTGTTTAGTTTTTACTTTTTTTTTTGGTTAATCCTCACCTGAGGATATTTTTCCACTGTTTTTTTAGAGTGAGGGAGGGAGACAGGAACGGGGGAAGTAAGAGGGACAGAGAGGAGGAGAGAGAAACATTGACATGAGAGAGATGTATTGATTGACTGGGCCAGGGATAGAACCTGCAACCAAAGTACGTGCACTTGATCCAGAATCGAACCCAAGACCCTTCGGTATGCAGGCTGGTGCTCCAACCATTGAACCACACCAGCCAGGGCTTAATAATATGTTTTAACACCTGATAAGGCTAGTCCTGCATCACTGATCTTAAGTTTTCCTGGCTTTTCCAGTTTCTTGCTCTATTTGGACTTTGACTTGTCATCAAGGAAAAACCTACTGATGTTATTGGTACATTACGTATAAAAAGCTGGAGAGAGAACAGCTGTCTAACGATTTGTAAGACCTGGCTGTATCTTTTTCATTGGAACAAGCTAGCCTTCAAGAGTACTTTAAAGTTTTATGTATAGATTTTGCACATTTTTTGTTAAACTTATTCACTGGTATTTTACCTTTTTTGCTGCTACTGCAAATTGCCTCTTTCCCTCTATTTTACCTTCTAATTGTGTTCTTACTTTTTTCAAACAGTAACAACCTTTTATTACATATGTGTGTGTACACATATATACACATACACATGTGTGTGTGTATATACACATATACATATACATATACATATACATATACATATACATATAGTTGTTGCTGATTACAGAGAGGAAGGGAGAGGGATAAGATAAGATAGAAACATCAGTGATGCAAGAATCATTGATCGGCTGCCTCCTGCACACCCACTAATGGGGCTCAAGCCCACAACCCAGGCATGTGCCCTCGACTGGAATCGAACCTGGGACCCTGCAGTCTGCAGGCTGATGCTCTATGCACTGAGCCAAATCAGCAAAGATTAATTGTGTTTTTAAACGGAAGTTATTGATTTCAGTACGTTAATTTTATAACCAGCCACCCTAATGAATCCTTATTGCCTACAATTTTTCAGTTGATTCTCTTGGGTTTTGCAGTTATATGACCTCTTCCTCTCTAATTCATAAACCTCTATTTCTTTTCCGTCCCCATCCTGTTTCTTTATATTCTGAATTACTTTACTTTAGTTGTAGCTCATATTTACAACTTTAAACTGGTTTTCCCTTCTGATTCAATACAATCATCTCTTTCTTGTAATAGGTGAGTTTAGTCCATGTACATTTACTAATAGGGTAACAGGTACCTGATATATACATACTGGTACCTATGTATGGTGTCAGCTCTGTCGTATCACTTTAAGTTATGTTTACTGCTTATATATTGCAAGCCTTTCATTGTGTAGCCTTTCTTTGATCTTTTTTATTATATCAATTCTCCTGGAAGTGAAGATCTGCCTTTTGTCCTAGAAGTTACTCTCCCTTTCTATGATCTCCTCAGTCCCCACTTCCCCTGGCGGCTGTCAGCTCCCTACACACAACATGAAATTACCCTGTAGTCTTTTCCTCCCCAATCTTCCACTTCACTATCCAATGTTGGTCAATAGCGGTTTTTTTTTTCCTTAATAAATATATTTTATTGATCTTTTACAGAGAGGAAGGGAGAGGGATAGAGAGTTAGAAACATTGATGAGAGAGAAACATCAATCAGCTGCCTCCTGCACACGCCCCACTGGGGATGTGCCCGCAACCAAGGTACATGCCCTTGACCGGAATCGAACCCGGGACCCCTCAGTCCGCAGACCGATGCTCCATCCACTGAGCCAAACCGGTCAGGGCAATAGCGTTCTTTTTTAAGCTTTTAGGTATGTTTCAGCGTCTACCAGGCCACTGCACCCGTGACCTTCTTTATTCTTTCCTCTTTATTTGATCTGCTTTCCTCTAGCTCTCACCCAAGTGCCTTCCCAACACGTAACAAGGACAAAGGCCAAGGTCATTCAAGTAAGATCTGCACCCTACATCCACCAAAAGGCTACCTTTGATGCCGGGTAAGTCGATGCTGGCGTGCTCGTGGATTCCAATCCCATTCCGGATGATCCGCAAGGAGCCTTCCTTGAAAGCCCCCGAGCAAGTGACCAGCTGCAGAGAGAGACAAGGTTTCTAAACACACACACCCCCGCCACCCTGCGCCCGGCCTTCATGCTGAGGCCCAGCAAGTGCATCAGCTGCACCTGGACCCAAGGACCTGCCTGTGGAGCTGGGTGTGAGGCTGCAGACTTAGCAGAGGTTCACCTCCAGTCTCCCCAACGTCCTGACAGACAGGACATCCTAGTCCAAACAGCAAAGGCTCCTGCTACTTACCCGCAAGCTCCCTCCCCCCCCACCCCACCCCACCCCGGGGCCCTGTTTACTGGGAAGATCCCAGGACCTGGAATCAGACACACCTGCCGTTTACTAGCTGTGGGACCTTGGACGAGTTTCCTAATCTCTCTCAGCCCTTCTGAAAGGGCCAAGAACCCCTATCTCTCCGGTGCTCGTGCGGGTACGACGTACAGCAAGTGTCTGGCAGACCAAGATAGGCCCTGGGCAAATGGTGAGGCTCTTACACGCTATCTTCAGGGCGCGGGCCCATAGGCGAGCCCAGGAGGGCACAGTCTGAGTGGGCACACCAACTGCCCACCCAGGACCTTACCTGGCCCTGCCCCTGCCGCTCCAGGTCCACCACGCACATGTCCACAATGGGCCCCAGGTTGGTGAAGGTTTCCATGGCGACCACATAGGAGCCTTGCTCATTGCTGTCCACATTGAGCTAAGAAGGAAGAACAAAGTCAGTCCTGCAGCACGCCTAGCGGACCCGGAAGAAAGGGTCTTCACCCGAACACCCTCCCTGTGCCCGGAGGAGGCTGCGAAGGGGACTGCTGACGAAGGAACGTCTCCTACAGGCGGCCCTAGCCAGGCAGGGATTTCTAATGAAGCAGCTTGGAAATTAGGGAAAATGTTTGCACGCATTTTTCTGCAGAGAAGGTCCAAAATGTTCACATTCTAAAGGGGAGGCAGCCCGTTAGACCACGACCTTCTGCACACGGAGCTGGGTCTTGCTCATCATCACCCACGGCACCCAGCACCCGGCCCCGCACACAGGCTGCACGAACCGTGAGGACGAGAGCTCATCAAGGTAGGGCGTGCAACCCATCCAGTAGGAAGCTGAGCCGTACAGGCCCAGACAGGGGTGAACGGAGGGAATCCCGAGGCACTGAACACAGAATCCTGACGAAGCAGCAGTGAGGCCGCGGGAAAGAAGCGAGAGAGAAGAAAACGTCTTCTCACCTTCACAAGCTGGGAGTCACCAAGGCGCGACCCGACAAACACAACGCCGTTGTCCAGGTATGTCAAGCACTCAGCAATGGAGGTCTAGGCAAAGCCAACCCAGGGAGGCATCAGGACTCCTGTGCGACCCGGACCCGTCCTCCCCGTCAAGGCTGTGCTGAGAGCACACCTGCAGCCATGGTGCCCACAACCACCCTCCCCTTCAAACCTCAGGCCACACCACACAAATGGCCCTGATCTCTGACGTCTCTGACTTTCCATTAATCACTTCCCTACAGTCTAAGGAATCTACACTTCATCTCGAAGGCACCTGCTCCAAATGACAGCTTTAATCCCAACTTTAATCACCTCAAAACTAGTGGAAACCTCTAAAATTCACTGCCTAGTCCTTAACATGCCCTGGGAGCCTCCTCCCAGAATGTAAGTACATTACATTACTAATATGTAAGCATATTAGGTTAACTGTTCATTCTTTTCGCTGCTTTTAGTTTCCTTTCTTTTTACGCTTGAGGTAGCGCCTGGCTGCCTATGAGTTTCTCCACCATCTAACGCATTCAAACACAAACTTCCACAGCAGGACTGACCATGTGTTGCTGGGTAATGGGACCCCCAGTCACAGTGGGGGCCACACTCGTGGGGTCAGTGGGCCCCCAGGAGAATGCAGCAGAGGAGGAGCAAGCCCCACCTCTCCCAGGAGCTCCACGCGGAGATCCTTGAGGGTGACCGTGCCATCCATCTGCTCCTCCTTCTCCAAAAGCAGCATGAAGAGCCGGCCCTCCATGTCCCCCAGCAGGTAACGGGAGCCATTGGGGTCCACGCGGTTGTGACACACAATCGTGCTTTGCTGCCGAGAGGGAGGACAGTCGTTAGCGATGAAGCATCTTCCACAACCAGAGCGCAAACCACTCCCCTTCCCACCCCAGCCCCTGCGCGAGCACCCAGCCCCTCGGCCAGCATCACGTGTGCTGGTGAAGTCAGAGGCGGTTCATTCTGAGGACAATTTTCTGAGGAGTCCCATACACCCGAAAGGTTTAGTCACGTGTTATTCTCCGGGGAACTGGGACTAGAAAGACTAGCAAACAGCTGTAATTACTCACGGGACTATAAATGCTACCAGAGATTTTGTTCATTTACCCTCACTACCACTAATCACCTCCTAACACTAATGTTACTATAGATTGTTATTTATTCTCAAGGCTTCATTTTTATGACCTGAAGTTTTAAGGTTTGGAATTTTTATGACTAATTTTTAAACGTCTAGGTAATATGCCCTGGCGGGTGTGACTCAGTGGTGAGAGCATCGGTCCGCACACCAGAAGGCCGCAGGTTCAATTCCTGGTCGGGATGTGCGGGAGGCAATCAATCGATGTGTCTCTCTCATATCAAAGTTTCTCTCTCTCCCTCTCTCCCACTTTCTCTTGCTCTAAAAAAAAAAAAAATTAAAAAAAATTGAGGATTAAAAAAGTCTGTATCATTTATCACTACAGTACTTTACATGACGTGAACCCTGCAAATACTTAAATTTGCAAAATGTTTCCCTTCCTAAAGTTACCCCAGCCAATCAACGGAAAGGGTAAACCTCTTTTATTATTTCTCCCTCGTAGTGAGCAAGCTCTTTTTAAACACAAACAGGCAAACCTCTCTGTATCCCAATGACCAACACACTATCTTATACACTCCGTGCACAGACGGCAGACACCTTGACCCTCCTTCTGACAAGTGGGGAGAAAGAGAGGAGCAGGGTAAGAACGGGAGGAAAAGAGGGGGGACAGGAGGGGAAAAGGAAAGCCGCTCACCTTGATGATGGGAGGAGCGATCGCCAGGTACTTGTCCCCGTTGTGGTAGGTGATGGACTCCTGCCCGATGATGATGGCCCCGCCAAAGGGCTCCGGGACTGCAGGAGAGGGGCGCGTTAGAGGGCTCTGCACGGGGGACCCGCCAGCCTGACACAGCAGGGCACTCACCCAGTTACACGAGGCGAACGGAGACGACCGTTACTTTAAAGATCCTAACTAAGAGCTTTCCCTTTCCTCCGTGTTCCTGAGCTGAGCTTTCCCCATGACCAGAGCCAGCATTTAGGAGCCAATCTGACTGAGGAGTGTAGGTTCTCTAGCAGCGGAGACACACGGCTTTATGCGGGGCGAGGGCCAGACCAGGCGGTGCAGGTCTAGGATGCAGCCCAGGCTTTGTCAGGAGGCACGGGCGTGGGCAAGCCCCTCGGGCCCGCTTCCTCCTCTGAAGCGAAGGAGTCAGATTAGATAAACTCTACTGGTCCCTGTCCGCTTTTAAATGTTATGCTCAAAATAAAATAACGGGACTACCATCTGCCACTCTACAAATCAATGTCAGTGTTTTATAGTAAATAAAAGAAAATTCTATGTTGGGGGGAAGTGAAAAACAAGACAATCCCAAAGACGGAAATGGAGAAGGCAAAGGAGCGCGCCTTCAGAGGCGGCACATGCTGCGGGACGACACGCTTCCCGCTCCGAGCGCTGCGGGACGACACGCTTCCCGCTCCGAGCGCTGCGGGACAGACACGCTTCCCGCTCCGAGCGCTGCGGGACAGACACGCTTCCCGCTCCGAGCGCTGCGGGACAGACACGCTTCCCGCTCCGAGCGCTGCGGGACAGACACGCTTCCCGCTCCGAGCGCTGCGGGACAGACACGCTTCCCGCTCCGAGCGCTGCGGGACAGACACGCTTCCCGCTCCGAGCGCTGCGGGACAGACACGCTTCCCGCTCCGAGCGCTGCGGGACGACACGCTTCCCGCTCCGAGCGCTGCGGGACAGACACGCTTCCCGCTCCGAGCGCTGCGGGACGACACGCTTCCCGCTCCGAGCGCTGCGGGACGCACACGCTTCCCGCTCCGAGCGCTGCGGGACGCACACGCTTCCCGCTCCGAGCGCTGCGGGACAGACACACTTCCCGCTCCGAGCGCTGCGGGACGCACACGCTTCCCGCTCCGAGCGCTGCGGGACGCACACGCTTCCCGCTCCGAGCGCTGCGGGACGCACACGCTTCCCGCTCCGAGCGCTGCGGGACAGACACGCTTCCCGCTCCGAGCGCTGCGGGACAGACACGCTTCCCGCTCCGAGCGCTGCGGGACAGACACGCTTCCCGCTCCGAGCGCTGCGGGACAGACACGCTTCCCGCTCCGAGCGCTGCGGGACAGACACGCTTCCCGCTCCGAGCGCTGCGGGACAGACACGCTTCCCGCTCCGAGCGCTGCGGGACAGACACGCTTCCCGCTCCGAGCGCTGCGGGACAGACACGCTTCCCGCTCCGAGCGCTGCGGGACAGACACGCTTCCCGCTCCGAGCGCTGCGGGACAGACACGCTTCCCGCTCCGAGCGCTGCGGGACAGACACGCTTCCCGCTCCGAGCGCTGCGGGACGCACACGCTTCCCGCTCCGAGCGCTGCGGGACAGACACGCTTCCCGCTCCGAGCGCTGCGGGACAGACACGCTTCCCGCTCCGAGCGCTGCGGGACAGACACGCTTCCCGCTCCGAGCGCTGCGGGACGACACGCTTCCCGCTCCGAGCGCTGCGGGACGCACACGCTTCCCGCTCCGAGCGCTGCGGGACAGACACGCTTCCCGCTCCGAGCGCTGCGGGACAGACACGCTTCCCGCTCCGAGCGCTGCGGGACAGACACGCTTCCCGCTCCGAGCGCTGCGGGACAGACACGCTTCCCGCTCCGCGCGCTGCGGGACATACACGCTTCCCGCTCCGAGCGCTGCGGGACGACACGCTTCCCGCTCCGAGCGCTGCGGGACAGACACGCTTCCCGCTCCGAGCGCTGCGGGACAGACACGCTTCCCGCTCCGAGCGCTGCGGGACAGACACGCTTCCCGCTCCGAGCGCTGCGGGAACGACACGCTTCCCGCTCCGAGCGCTGCGGGACAGACACGCTTCCCGCTCCGAGCGCTGCGGGACAGACACGCTTCCCGCTCCGAGCGCTGCGGGACAGACACGCTTCCCGCTCCGAGCGCTGCGGGACGACACGCTTCCCGCTCGAGCGCTTTCCCGCTCCGAGCGCTGCGGGACAGACACGCTTCCCGCTCCGAGCGCTGCGGGACGCACACGCTTCCCGCTCCGAGCGCTGCGGGACAGACACGCTTCCCGCTCCGAGCGCTGCGGGACGCACACGCTTCCCGCTCCGAGCGCTGCGGGACGCACACGCTTCCCGCTCCGAGCGCTGCGGGACAGACACGCTTCCCGCTCCGAGCGCTGCGGGACGCACACGCTTCCCGCTCCGAGCGCTGCGGGACAGACACGCTTCCCGCTCCGAGCGCTGCGGGACGACATGCTTCCCGCTCCGAGCGCTGCGGGACGCACACGCTTCCCGCTCCGAGCGCTGCGGGACGCACACGCTTCCCGCTCCGAGCGCTGCGGGACAGACACGCTTCCCGCTCCGAGCGCTGCGGGACAGACACGCTTCCCGCTCCGAGCGCTGCGGGACAGACACGCTTCCCGCTCCGAGCGCTGCGGGACAGACACGCTTCCCGCTCCGAGCGCTGCGGGACGACACGCTTCCCGCTCCGAGCGCTGCGGGACGCACACGCTTCCCGCTCCGAGCGCTGAGGGACAGACACGCTTCCCGCTCCGAGCGCTGCGGGACGCACACGCTTCCCGCTCCGAGCGCTGCGGGACGCACACGCTTCCCGCTCCGAGCGCTGCGGGACGCACACGCTTCCCGCTCCGAGCGCTGCGGGACAGACACGCTTCCCGCTCCGAGCGCTGCGGGACGACATGCGTCCCGCTCCGAGCGCTGCGGGACGCACACGATTCCCGCTCCGAGCGCTGCGGGACGCACACGCTTCCCGCTCCGAGCGCTGCGGGACGGACATGCTTCCCGCTCCGAGCCCTGCGGGACAGACATGCTTCCCGCTCCGAGCCCTGCGGGACAGACATGCTTCCCGCTCCGAGCGCTGCGGGACAGACACGCTTCCCGCTCCGAGCGCTGCGGGACAGACATGCTTTCCGCTCCGAGTGCTGCGGGACAGACACGCTTCCCGCTCCGAGCGCTGCGGGACGCACACGCTTCCCGCTCCGAGCGCTGCGGGACAGACACGCTTCCCGCTCCGAGCGCTGCGGGACGACACGCTTCCCGCTCTGAGCGCTGCGGGACGGGCGGGCAGGTGAGGAAGGATCAATGGGAACCGGCCCAGACCCTGAAACCCGACCAACCTGCAATCACCATGGAAGCTTCCGCCTCTACGTTCTCCTGTTTCCAAGGGCCCTTATTGAACTCCTTCTCCCGCAGAGACACCTCGTAGGTTTTCACGTGCCGCCCCTGAGGGTCCTGGGGGGGAATGGAATCATTAGCCTGAGGAAAGGAGACGGCTCAGGAGGGACAGGTGAGCGCCACCCAGCATCTGACTTCCCATGACAGCTTCCCAGCCTGGCTGGGCAGCCTGCCACTGAGGCCTACAATACCGACAGCAACCACCAATGAACGTTTACAAATGAGAAAACATGAGCCCGAGCCAGTGTGCTCCGCGGTCAGAGCGCCATCCTGCGCTCCGAAGAGTCACAGGGTCACTCAGTTCCCGGTCAAGGACACTTACCTGGGTTGCAAGTTCCATCCCTGGAGGCCACCAATCACTGTGTCTCTCTTACATCCATGTTTCCTAATCCCTCTCTCCCTCTCCCTGCCCACCTCCCTGCCACTCCCTCTAAAAATCAATGGAAAAAATATCCTCAGATGAGGATTAACAACAATAAAAAAAAATAAAGTTGTCACACTGTACTAACCATTATAACATACAAAGTAAATACACAGGGGTGTGTGTGTATGTATATGTATGTGTATATGTGTGTTCTACATTCATTCCTTAGCCTCGAGGAAATTACAAAATAGCTCAAGAGAAAAAATAACCCTATTGAGAAGCTAAATACATATAAATTTTAAAAATTTTCATGCTAAATTCTTAAAAGCATTCTGATGCAGGGATGGTAGGGAGAGAGAGCACATTGCTCCTCTCAAGTTAGTCAAAACCTCCAGGCCTGCCCCTGTCAACACCAGCTCCCTCCTTTTTCTGAATCATGACTCACTTTGTCCTGGAGCGATCGGGCATCTTTGCGAGATAGGAGCTGGGTTTGGGGGAAGGATGGCCTCAACAAAGGCCAGACCAGGGTTTACAAGTTATGAAAGGAATTCAATGTTTTTCAGGGCAGGGACCACGCCTTAACCACTGTGACAGTTCCTGAAACACTTTCCTATCTATAATAATAAAAGGGTAATATGCTAATTAGACCGGACATCTTCCGAACGTCCTTCCTGATGAAGCCCAGGCCAGAGGGAAGCCAGTCAGGGTCCCGGGTGCCTGCTGGCGGCCAGAGGAGGGAAGCCTGGGACCCGGGTGCCAGAGGGAAGCGGTGCCGACAGCCGGGGGAAGGCAGGCCTGCTCTTGCACGAAGCCAGGGCTGCAAGGGCTCAGCCCCTTGCACGGATTTCTTGCATCAGCCGCTAGGAAGTATATGTTGTCAAGAGGAACTTTTGACACAAAAATAGGAGGTAAAGTCATTTTTAGTTGATGGAAACATTTTCCCATCAGTGATTAAAGTAAGACCCAACTTCACAGAAAGTTTAGCCTGGGTCTGCCTCTGGAGACACGCACAGAGGACAGCTCGTTCACACTGGCGCCCGCGGCGGGAACATGCAGAGGCAGACTAACCAACATCACCATTTTAAGGGCCTGATAGTTACAAAACTGAAGAAGGGAGAGAAATTCTAGGTTTTTATTTCAGCTCTGACAGTTAACGCACTGTAAAAAAGAGCAGACAAAATTTCCGAAATGGCTTCGACCTTATTCCAATGACCCTTATTCCAACCAGCCTCAGAACCAGAACTCTCCCAGTGGCACCAAGAAGCCTACAAATAGTGCACGCCCGCGCACGTCCAACAATTCACACAGCCATCCGTGCTCTCACGTCCACACAACACCCGGACTTGGGCGCTTCCTTCCAGCACTTACTCTGCCATGCGAGTAAGATGACCTCCTGCGTGTGGCCCTCTGCGAAAAGGCTGAGATTTTACCGAGACAGGCATGTTAATCCAGTGCTCTGCCACCTGCCCCCGCAACAGATCTGCCCAGAGAACAGCTGCCCACCAGCAGCTCTGCTGAAGTTTTGAGCACAGACTAAAATAGAAGTCAAGAGCCAGCAAGTCCCCAGAAAGTGAGTGAGGAATAAAATGCAACCTCTTCTTAGAAGACATACATGAAGCATCCCCAAGACGTTTCCTCTCTGCGTGGGAAGGCAACTCTCAGACCGTTTCTCTTGAGTTCTTTCAATTGGTTTTTTTTGAGAGAGGAAGGAAGAGGGAAGCGCATGGCCGTGCTGCTCCACTTATTAACACGTTCGCTGGTTGATCCGTCTGTGCTCTGGCCGGGAACAAACCCGCAGCCTTGGCACATTGGGACGACACTGTAACGAGGCAACCGGCGGGGCCCTTTCTGTTTTAATAACCCCCTAGCACGCCAGTAAGAGGCCAAGATCAAGTAGAAACTGGGTCACCCTACAAAATCTCCAAGGATTAAAACCTGCTGCAAGCCTCAGAGAGCTCGCTTCCTCCACAGTCAGTACCACTGCACTCAAGTCGCAAACCCAGCCTGACCCACATCGTCCCGAGCATTTCAGAGCAAATACAGTAAGTACTCCTGCCGACCCTCCTACGAAAGCCAGGCAGTTCACGCAGCGAAAATGACCTCCTACTAGGCCCACCACACAGCTTCTCCCCTCTCCGCCCGATCCAGCACCTGGTAGACAAAACAGATGGTAGGTGCTTGGCAGCCATAGAGGAACTTGACGTCGATGACATGCAGTTCCTCCAGGCGGATGTTAAAGGCCTTGAGCTCCTTGTTGTCCCGGTCCAGTGGAATAACCTTGAAAAGGCCGTCGTAGAGCCGCAGGCCAATCATCCGGCACTCAGGGTCAATGATGCCGATGATGCCGGTCTCCGAGGGCCGGCCGATTCGGTCCTGGGAAGTAACACTGGGTCAGAGAAGAGACTCCACACCCACAGCCACAGAGGGCCCGGCACCGCTCCCCCAGGACGGGTTAGGAGAGGCGGTCGAACTGGGGGCATCTGCGTGACAGGCAGGAAACCCAGTGCCAGTGCCTGTCTTTCTGTAAAACACGGAACTCAGTGGATTCTTTCATTTACCCTGTCCCCTGGACCCTGAGTAAACTAGACAAGCCCTTTTTAAAAGCCCAAACCCTGCGTGCTTTCTCCTTGTTTCTCTGGTCACGGAGAGAGCTGCCCCCAGCACTTCCATCTTCTCCATCAAACCCTGGCCTCCCCACCCCCGCTTGCCTCAGCCAGAGGCAGCCCCTCACCTGGACGTTGCCATGGGCGCGTGTGATGATGTCGATGCTCTCACCGCTTTGCTTGTACTCCAGGATGCAGGCGTTGTACTTAGCTGTCAGGATAAACAGCAGGTCCTTGCTCTCCCCCTGGAAGCCAAAACTATGCTATCAAAAGAGGGTCTTTTAAAACAGACATTCCTGGCCAGCCTGTAAGCATCATTCTTTAAGCATGCTAACTTACTTACGCACTTTTTTCTCCCTGAAGAGAAAATCTACAGTGAGTATGTAACAAACCTACGCGCGCACACTCGAAGGGCGTGCGAAAGCCCAGAACTGGAGCTGGTAATCACCCAATCCTCACTGTCGTGAATCCACACCTCTCTGCTCTACATTCCGTGTCTTCATCTATTTCCGTATCGAGCTAATCGAAATCATCCCTTTCAGTTCTGAAGATGAATGCAATGACTTCTCTAATCTTCTCCAAGTATTTGGAGAAAGAAGGAAAACACGTGAATAACAATGAAGCTAAAATGGGTCTACAGTCTTACTTATTATTAGCACAGACCCCCACACTGTGAGTGTTTTCATCAAAGAGGCTGTAATTAAGGTTCTGAACCCACTGCTTTCTTGTTAGGTTCATTAAGGTACAATCAAGTAATATGGTGCCTCATTAAGTAAAAACACTTGAATTATAATAACAATGTGATAACTATTAACATAACAATGAATGCTTGCTATGGGCCAGGCCCCGTGTTATTAAATCATTTAATCTTCACACTAAACCAGGGGATTGGATACTTTTATCCCCATTTTGCAAACAGAAAATAAGACTCTGGAAGGTGAAGTGACACCCAAAGTTAGAATTAATAAGGACTGAAGCCAGGGCTGCCCTGCTCCGGAGCCGATGCCCGGAGTCACCATGGCGACCCACAGCGTGGTGACCGACATTTCCAACGGCTGCCATTTCCCCCTCTCACAGAGGTCCACTTGCTCATTTTTTCCCTTGTCAACTTCTCCCGGTTCTAGGAAGCTTGTTCAAGAATATAAATTAACGCCTGCCATTCCAGAGGAGTCGGTGCTCTCCTAAGCCTTTCCCCACCCATCCCAAGCACCGACGTAGCACAACCTGAGGCCCTCTTCGCTGCTGGGCCCAGCCCAGAGCACGCACCTTGGGCCTGAAGAGCTCCATGACGGCGACCTTCCCGTACATGCCCACCTCCTTAACCGGCCGGAGCCCCTCCGCGGTGACCACATAGATCTCCAATCGCGTATTCTTGGCAATCAGCAGGTTCAAGTCTTCCGCTGACGTGAAGTGTCCTGAAGGAACAGACAGATCCTCTCACTGCTAGAGCCACAGCTTCGGAATTCCCACTTAATTCATAGATCTCCCCAGCTCCCTCCAGCCTCTCACTCCCATCTCACCCAACCCCGCACCTCAGAGAGTCTCGCTCAGGCCGTCACGAAAGCTGCTTCTCTGATCAGACTAAGAAAATCAGACCAGGAAACCTGGACAGGGCTCAGGGCAGCATGACAATGACTGTGAACCCCCTCCCAGGGCTCTGCGCCCCCCACTTCCCTTTTCCTTTTGCTAGGGCCGCCTATCCTCTAACCGAGGGCTGCTGGGCCAAGACTGTCCGTTTCCCTTAGGTCCTTACCTAAACGTCCACAAAATCTTTCCCGGACAAGCAGGCCGGGTCAGAGGCATTCTGGGAGCTCTGCACCCAAACACCGTCTGTCCGCACCCCCTGCCCGCCCGGCCGTGGACCAGCCAGCACCCTCACCCACACTCTGACGCTGCCAGCTCTCTGACAGCTGTTTGTTTTGGAATCATAAGGAGCATTTGCTGGAAGTCTGAGGTCCTCATTTTGCTGAAAACCGGGTTCAAGAGGACTGATTATTCCCGGGTCCTGGACACCCGTGTTCTCAATCAACGAGGCAGACCCAGCGCGGGTCGGGCCCCGCTCCCCGCCCTTCCAGCAGCGAGTCAACAACAGCCCCGGGCCAGGAGGACTCATCCCGTCCAGCTCGGGGCGGGGGCGCGGGCGAGCGCTCCCCACACCCCTCCCCGCTCCCCGCCCCCCCCCGCCCCAGGCTCTCCCCAAGGCCAGTTCTACCCCCATCGCCACCGCCACGGCCCCTTCCCCCGACCACACGAGGCCCATCTCGGGGCCCCAGCAGCACCGCACGACCGACTCACACTTCGCTCTCTGTCCTCCTGGGCCCGCCCGGGTCCTCGAGGTCAGATGACCTCCCAGGACGAAAGGGGACCCCCGAAAGCAGCCCTGGAGCCCCCAAAAGGCGCATGCGGACACAGCTTCTTTGGAGTCGGGGGCTAGGAGGTTCCTCGGCCGCCGACGCCCCCCATCCCCCGGGCCGGGTCCCGCCCGGCCGCCCCAAGAGTCGCGGGCGTCCCTAGGCCGCGGGGGCCCCCGGATCCCGCCCTCGCCGGGGTCTCCGGCCCTGGCAGCCTCACCGGTCACGCAGCCGTTCACGGCGGTGGGCTTCTGCGCCGTGACCACGTAATTGTACGACATGTCGAGGGCTGGGGCGGCCTGTCGAGACGCGAGCGCGACGAGAGAGAGACGGACGCCGGCGGAGACACAGGGGGCCCGACCCGCGCGGCGAGCTCCACGGCCGCTGCCTCCGCCCCGCAGACACGTTGCAGCCCAGAGCGGCCGGGGCGCGGGGCATCACGGGACGGCTTCACCTGGCCTCCTGGAGGACTCGCGGCGCCCCGGGCGGCCAATCAGGGGAGGCCCCGCCCCGGAGGCCCCGCCCCCCCGCGGACCGCCGGCGCTCCGAGTACCCGGATGAGGGCGCCCGTTGTGGGTCCGGGAAGCCGTGGTGCCGGCGGGTGGGTGCCGGGGAGAGAGGGGCTGGGGGAGTAGCGCCGACGCCCGCAGAGCTGACCCGCCGCTCGCCGCCTCCCCCCGGTGCGCGCCCTCCCCCCGCCCCGGCCCCGGCCCCGACTCCGCGGCTCCCAGCCCTCGGGCTGCCATTCCTTTGGAACCGGAAGAGCCGCAGGGGCCTGGGGAGGGGAGGGGGTGACCGCAGTGTGTGCAGCTCCCAGGCTAGGACCAAGGTCCGTACCTCCCTCCCCTCGGCCCGCCCAGCTCCCCAACCCAGCTGACCCCAGAATGACCCTCCCCTGACTCCAGAATGGCCTCTCACCCCTGCCTCACTTGGGGGAGGGGTGGTACCAGGAGGCTCACCTCTCCCCTTTGAACTTTTGTTTTATTCTTCAGACTTTGAAGGGCCCGCCAGGCCGCTGGCCCAGCACGGTTAGTGCACCTAATTTCTGTGCAATTTCTAACCATGCAAAACCAGAATTTCCCGGGAGAACCTTAATGACCCAGAAAGGCAGTCCTTAGCTCTGCAACGTAATAGGCCTCACCAGATCACGTGGTTGGGGCGGGGGACAGGAATGGGGGACCACGTGGTCTGGAGCGCCAACAGAATGCCACAGACCTTATGGCCCCATTTTACAGATCCTCATCTGAGGATCGCTGAGGCCCCGGGCCGTTGGTTTACCTAAGATGCCCCAGTAAGTCAGAGGCAGAACTAGGCGCAGAACCTGGTGTGGCCCCTTCCCATTGCAGACTCATTCCCTGCGCCCAAGACCCTGAGTGACCCCAAGACACCTCTGAACCAGGCGGGACTGAGGGGAGCTAAAACATGCCCAGGGGCCCCAGGGGTGGTTCCCCACACCAGGGACGCTGCATGACTTTGCAGGCGTTGAGTTATCAGCGGGAAGAGCGCAGGCCTTGTAGAAAGACTAGACGTGGGTTTAAGTCCTGGCTCTTAGCATGACCTTGAACAAGTCCCTAGAGCTTCGGAGTCAGTGTCCTGGCACTAAAATGTGCTCCCAGCTCAGCTGCCTTCCTCTTGGTTTGATACCAACAGCAACAAGGGCAAGTGCATGAAGATCTTTGTGAGTGTGTCCACTGCACACGATGCTTATGTGGGAGAGGGTGTTACTCCGGTTCATCGCACCCTTGGGTGGGAAGGGGGGTGCTCTCCGTGCCCACTGTGGGCAGATCTGCCTTCTGGCAGCCACGTCAGGTGAACCTTGGCCAGCCCCACGCTCCACTCCATCCCCAGCGCACGTTCTGGAGTTCAGACTTGGATCAAAGTCTGGGGCAGCTCCCTAATTACGAGGGCCTGGAAGCATGATGTGCCAGTAGCTGCGAGCACCTCCAGCGACCCACATTCTCACTCTCCTGCAGGTGCTGCCGCCACCTGCACCGTGCTGCGGCCCAGGCAGCACCCACAAGATCGCCCGTCTCCGACAGCTCAGTGCCAAGGCACCAACTCAGCCTGCTGGCTTCAGCACCTCCCCACCATGGTGAGTCGCAGGGGGGCCAGGACTGGGAAAGGACACTGTGGGCTCGGGGCATGGCGGGGGGGCGGTGGGGGAGCATGCCAGCCCTGGGCACGCTGGAGCTCCTTACACTCTGACCAAGAGATGCTGCTGCCTCCTAAAGTTCAAAGAGGTTAAGACAGGGTCCCTCTCGGGGCCTGGTCCCTGCTTCCCTCCATTTCCTAGCTAGTCCCGGCAGGCCCAGGGCTGCAGCCTCTGAGTCCCTCCCGGGCCCATCTGCCCCCTGGTCTGGGCATGTCTTTGGAACAGTCACAGTTACCTGCACTGGAATAGACACTGTACCAGCGACAGAGGGACCACGAGGAAGGACGTGGGCTTGTGCGGGCTGGTCCCATGGGGGGTCTTCACTTGGGGACGTGCAGCACTGCTAAGCATTGCTCCCTCTCCACTCTGGAGCAGATGTGCACCAAAGCAGGCCTGCACAGACCTAGTCCAGATCCAGCTGCCACTGACCAGCTGTGTGGCCTTTTACAGAAGACGCGCTCTCTCTGAACCTCCGTCTCCTGGCAGTACGGGGCAGTTAAGCCCTCCCTGCAGTGGCCCTGAGGTGTTCATCAGACGAGTCCTGGGGCCGAGCACAGCGCCCGCAGGCCAAGGGAACCAGGATGGCCCTGGTCCCTGCCCTCCTCTGACTCAGGGGTGGGAATGGTTGTCAGCGATGGCGAGGGGTCGCCTTCTTGGTGGGTGGTGGCGCTGGAGGCTGGGCTTGGAGCCGAGACCAACCACAGCTCTGCCACTCACAGCCTCGCTTCAGCCCCCGGGGGAAGCAGCGTGGAGCAGCAAAGCGGAACCTGTGTGGGAGCCAGGCAGGCGTTTGCTGGCTGTGTGATCTTGGGCGAAGTCACTTAGCTGTGCCTCGGTTTCCCCACCGAGCTAACCCTTCCTCCGCAGGGTTGGTGGGAACATGAGCGAGACAGGCTCAAAAGCACCCTGAAGCGCCTGACTCCCAGGCAGGGCCCGGAGTGGGTCTCATTATCCTGCTCTCTCCGCACTGACCTGTGTCTGTCCCCGGAGCAGATGGCTTGGCCCTGGCCCCTGCCAGACCCAGGCAAGGTCAAAGTTTACACCAAGGAGCCCGCTGCTCACAGGCTTGAGGGAGGAGCCTCCGGAAGTGCAGGCTGCCCCGCCCCGGCCCTCTGGGTCCCTTTGGGCCCTAGTCTCACTCTCTTTGGGACAAAAGCAGGGGCGGCCTGGGTGGGCAGACAGCTTTCTGAGGAAGGAAGTAGCGCCCTTGTAGCCAGCTTTCACTGTATGACAGGCTTCCGCCTGGGATGTCCCCGTTGTGCAGAGGAAGACGGAGCTCAGAACAGTGAGGTGCCTTCCCCGAGTCCTCAGCCCAGGGAGGCAGGCCTGGGATTTGCTCCCAGCTGCCGGTGCCTTCGCCCTGCCCCGGGAACTCGGCCGCCCGCCCTGGCCCTCCAGGACTGCAGCCCCCGTTTCTTTGCATGGAAGCCATTCTTCAGGATAAATTTAAGCCTTAATCCAAAACGTTTCCAAAGGACAAATGAACAAGAGAACTCACGGAAATAGCCACCTGATAAAATGAGGCAGGGTTCTGTGTGCCCCTGGCATTCCTAAGTGGGCGAGGAAGAGGGATCGTGGCCATAGAAACGGCACTGGTGGCCTGAAACTCCTCCTCGCTCCTCCCCCATAGGCCTCCAAGAAGCTGATGAACTCGGTGGCAGGCTGTGCCGACGATGCCCTGGCTGGCCTGGTGGCCTGCAACCCCAACTTGCAGCTCCTGCAGGGCTACCGCGTGGTCCTCCGCTCTGACCTGGACAGCCTCAAGGGCCAGGTGGCATTGCTGTCGGGTGGGGGCTCCGGCCACGAGCCTGCCCATGCCGGTGAGTGCCCTGGGCCAGAGGCGGGGGGTGGGGGCTCCGAGGAGATGCCAGTGCTGGTAGGAGGTTCAAAACGCAGCCCAGAGTCCAGAACTGGGTCCTGGTTCCCGCTTTCCCCTCCCTCAGGCTGTGATTTGGGTCGTTATGGCCTCTCTCTGGGCCTCAGTCTCTATAGCTTATAAAAGTAACAGGCTGGGCCAACTGACCTTTCAGCCCCTTCCAACTCTGAGAGTCAGTGTGTCTGTGAAACCTCCTGGCTGCCAGCTCACCTGCCACCTCCTCCATGAAGCCCTCCTGACTCTTGCAGCCTAGAGCAACATCCCTCTTCTGAATTCCCACCCTGCATTTTCACAAAAACACGAACAGCCCTGGATTGTTTTTGTCCAGTGCCAGGCGTGTGCTCTCCCTGAGAGCTCCCGGGGGCAGCACCCAGGCGTTGGAGCCTCTGTGCCTTTGCTGTCTCCCTCCGGCAAGTCCCCTCCATTCAGCAAACAATCCCGAGCACCCAGGGCAGTGACTGGGTGCCCGGACTGTCCTGGGCACTAGGGATGCAACAGTGAACCAGACAGACAAGGGGCTCCCCTCATGGAACTCTGTTCTCCTCTGGGGAGACAGACAGTAGCCAGGTAAACACAGAAGTGAAGAGATCGTTCCAGAGTGTGTACGTGCGGCCTGAAGGCGAGAGCAGGGGAAGGAGCAGCGAGCCATGGGCTGGGGTGGCAGCGCTCAGCTGCGGGTCAGGGAAGGCCTGTCCAGGGAGAGAACTGAGTGAGGACCTGCGGAGCAGCCGGGTGCTTGTCTAGCATCAGGCACGCAGGGGGCCACCTGCCCGTGACACTCGGGCAGGGGAGGCCCTACGACAGCCATGGGCGACCCAGCACCCTCCCCCACCCATCGCCAGGTTTCATAGGGAAGGGGATGCTGACGGGGGTCATCGCGGGAGCTGTGTTCACCGCCCCGGCAGTGGGCAGCATCCTGGCAGCCATCAGGACAGTGGCCCAGGTGGGCACAGGTACGCTGGGGTGCAGGAGGGGCTGCTGCCAGGCGGGGAGGGTGGGAGGGGGTGAGGGCAAGCACCGATGGGCCCCGCTGCTGCTCCTCCAGCGGGAATCCTCCTCATCGTGAAGAACTACACTGGGGACCGGCTGAACTTTGGCCTGGCCCGGGAGCAGGCCCGGGCTGAGGGCATCCCCGTGGAGATGGTGGTCATTGGGGATGACTGTGCTTTCACGACCGTGAGGAAGGCGGGCAGGCGGGGGCTCTGCGGCACGGTGCTCATCCACAAGGTGAGGTTCCCCTCCAGCCGGCGTCACCCCACCCCCTAGGGGGCCATTCCTTCCCCAGTGCTCCCTGCGCCTCAGCCCAGCATGTGAGCATGCTCCCAGGCCCTTCCCTCTCCTGCCCACACCAGCCCCTGGTGTCTCTGCCACGCCCATCCTCCGCAGAGCCTGCTCTGCTGGCCT